CGTTTCAACAAGGGTTTGTCATCATCAGGTGACAAAACCTTTTCGGAACGTTGTACATTTGCTGTTAGGTTAAAGTTATATTAAAGTTTTTCTTTATTACCCACTCAAGCCGTCTCCAGCCACTATTAGTCTCAAAGTGGGTTCCTCGTCATCGAATTTATTTATTTTCGTTTTTCTAAAGTTATGACATTTCACATTTTTCAAAAGCTGTATGTATCAAACTGTTGCCCTGATCCTTTAACATTAATGATAAAACAATATTCTCTACTGTCAAATGAAGTTCAAATGTTGACAATTTTTTGTAAACAATCAATATCTTACTTCTTTTTAATGAATGACTTTGTTACAAATTAACTTTGCACAGTAACGAACAGGACACCAATATCACCACAATTATTTATTCTCAACTTAGTAATATCTTCAATTCTATAAACTTCATGGGTATGTCTTTAGATGATACCGATCTGAAAATAAACGGAAGGGAATTAAGTTATATTATCAAGCATCAATTTTTTCATTCTTAAACCTTCAAGACCTATAACATCCTTAAACATACCGAGTTCCAACTTTAACATGTAAACAGCTTTAGACATAACAGATATTTGATTTGAATGGACTAATCCTACCAAGCTACACAAAATGAATGAGATCAATAAAAACACACACAAAGAAACTATTGCAGGACAATGCTAACCAAACTAGGGTACAACTGATAAATCCATCCCTTGACATTGTTTGTAAGTACTTGTGTTTTAACTGTCGTAAAGCAGATAAAAATTGTAGTTACGTAAGGGTTTTACTTTAAGAGTTTTCTGTACTGTGACAGCATTTCATCTTTTATACTACTGCCACTTTAAAATATCACATGCATAAACTTCAAAGATTATGTTTTAAAACCAAAGTCACTAATATGCTTTGTTTGTTTACCTTGTTAGCAACATCTAAGGCATCATAGTCAGGAGCTAGTCTAACATAAGCTTTCTTCTGACCATCAGGTCTGTTAAATAAAAAATATATAATTGTTACTGGTCGTAACATCAAACCTGTTAAATAATATGCAACAATAAAAATGTATATATATTTCTAATACCACATAAAATTACAGCATATGTATTAGCCCACTATACCATAGTATTAGATTAGATTCAACTAAACAAGTATAATACATTAACATGAGAGAAAATATCCGAGTATGTCCTTGACTTGGCTAGCTGGGCATCATTTTTATAGCAGTTTAAGAAACCCACTTGAATGATAAGAATGTCTAAAAAAACCCACCACTTGTTTCTCAATTTGACTTACTCATAACAAAAGCTATTTTCACTTTGGTCAGAGAATACACTGATGGTAGAATGGGACAAGTATGTGTAAAAACAAACGAGAAAAATTCCAACTGCGAGTCTCACCTGATAAGGGTGTTCACCTTCGCTACATCAATGTCGTACAACTTTTTAACAGCTGTCTTGATCTGGGGCTTGTTGGCTTTCAGGTCCACAATAAACACCAAGGTGTTGTTATCTTCAATCTTCTTCATCGCAGACTCAGTAGTAAGGGGATGCTTGATGATAGAGAACTGGTCCAACCTCGGGAAACACATCAATACCACTATAATTTATCAAGCTTAGTAACTAAGATGTAATTTAGTCTAAAAATATGAAATTTTGAGCAGACTAAAGACACACCCTACCTTACTGAAATATTGGTCCAAAAGAAATGGTGC